CATTGCTTGTTGAGTGCCTCAGCTTTGGCGGCTGTCTCTTCTATGCATGAGACCCAATCACCAGAGGGGGTGCTCTGAGGTTGGGTCCTAGCTTATGCCATGCCACCACCCGGTACAGGTCTCTACCATCTCTGGCGCCATTGATCACCTGCCTCCAGTATGCACGCTTGGTCTTGCGCACTGCATCCTTGAACTGGTGCTTCGCGGCCTCTGTCTGGTGAGTGGTGAGCTCTCGGTGCGCTCTTCGGCAGTCTGCTGTCCACCAGGGGGCTGTGGTCCGCCCTTGTTGAGCTGGCTTACTGACTGCCTGAGCTGCAGCCAGAAGACTCTGAGTGAAGTGCTGGGCCAGATCATCAAGCTGTGCCACATTTCCAACCCCCTCTGGGATAGGCATGTCCACCATGAGACCTCTGACAAGATCTGCAAAGGGCTCCAGCTGAGAGTCTGTGATCTTGATCCGAGCATCACTCAGCTGTGTTTGAGGTGTTGTTGGCAGCATAGTGATCATAGACTGGTGATCTGAGCCGCAGTGTAGATCTTGACGCACTGTAGTGGAAGCAAAGGCCACATTGGAGAAGGTGAGATCAATCACATGACCTGCTGCATGAATTGGAACCCCTATCTCTCCCACAAAGTCCATCCCATGTTCACTGGCCCATTGGACAAGCTCCCCGCCCCGGTGCAGATTCACTGCCCCTGGTTCAAAGGCATCATGCCGTACGTTGATATCCCCACCTATCAGACAGCGGGCTGGTGGGCTCAGATTGGTCAGATAGTCCATGACTGCGTCTGTCCCAGGCTGTCTGTACACATTGAGAATGTGGCAGCCATTTACACTGACCCATAGCAGATCCCTGCTTTGCACAGACCGGTGTTGCTGTGCCCTTGTCTTTGAGCCCTTGCGTACATATGTCATGACCCGGGGCCTCTCCTCCTCTCGCTGCTCCGGGTTAGTGTCATCCCAGCGGTCTATAGGCGCAAAGCACTCATACGCTGGGTGGTTAGAAGTCTTGGTGCCAGGGTGTGTGTATGGCTCCTGTATACAGACCACTTCACAGCCCTGCTCGAAAGCAAGCTGCAGAGCTGCTGTGTGACAGGGGGCTGCCCTGGCCGTATTTGCCCAGAAGACCTGCAGGGGGCGATTTTCCTGCTGGTTGTTCCTGCGGCGCCAGCCGCGTCGCTGGTGTTGGTGTCCTAGCATGAGGAGTCACTTGGTGAGCTGCTGCCGAAGTCCACCTGCGGGATGAGGTTGAAGGCCTCCAGACCTGCCATCTGCATGCTGGAGTCAGACTGTTCTTTAGCTGCTTGGCTGTGCTGCCGCACTGCTGTGCGAGCTGAGCGTCGCCTGGTGCGGGCCATCTGCCAGGTGGCACCCTCCTCACTGATGGAACTCTGAGTCGCCGCCCGCTTGCGGGGTGCTAGCCCAGCGGGCTGTGTTGACTGGGTTGACTGAGCGGTTGGTGTAGGCACCACCACTGCGACCATTGGTGCTGGCTGTGCTGGCGGCGGTTGCCGCTCCTGAGCATCCCTGTGGCACCTGTCGCCAAGGCGGCGAACAGCTGCTAGCTCTTTTTGAGTTAGGCGCCTGAGGGTGCCATTCACGCGCCTGGGTGCGGCAGGGCAGTGCTGATGCCCAGCTGGGTAGGGTTGGCAGCAGTTGGCACATCTTGGCGCTCTCTTGCACTCCGCGCCTGTTGGCCCCTCATGCTGGCTTGTGGGCTCACTGCAGTTGGAGCATCTTGCCAGTCGCGCACACTTTGGTGGGTGGCAGAACCCCTGGCATCCTGGGTTATGTCTCACTGTCAAAGGCCGTTTCTCAATCAGCCTGGCCCTCTCACTGGCATTGAAGAGTGAGAAGCCTTTTACCGGGGCAAGGAAGGAGACAATCCATGTAATCTTCCCTGTCTTGGGGTTCACCCCATGACGCGAGGGTCGACAGCTCACTGGCTTTACCTTTGCCTGAGCCAGAACCTCTCCCTCAATCATCTTGTCTGTGGGGATTCTTGCCCCTTCCCAGTCCTGGACAAATTCTGGGACCCCTGGGACAGCATAATTGTACCACCGCTCTGGTAGCCGGATCTCCGTGGCGCCAAGGACTTCACAGAGAGTAGCCACTGCCTTCTCAGTGGTCAGAGCGTCGCGTATGCCTCTGTCGCTTGGTGTGATCGCCCAACCTGTCCTGGTGGGCTCCACCTTCGGCACATTGGCCACATCCCCCACCCCCTGAATGTTTGCAGCGATTGCCTGCCGCACAGCATATGGCTGTAGCCGGGCGACCCGTTTCTCTGGCTGGAGGGTGACGAGGACTCGTGGGTCCTCCTGCTGTTTTGTGCCCCCTGTGGGGCCCCCTGGCTGACTGGCGCTTTTGGGCTGCAGGCTAGCTCCACTAGCCCTGCCTGCCGAGGAAGCCGCAGTCTTGGCAGGGGCAACCCCAGGGAGGGCAGAGTTTTTCCCCCTCTGAGCAACACCCGCCCAGGTAGTCGGCTCCCTCGCAGCTGTCTTTGCTGCATTTGGCTGCGGATGAGTATCCGGGGCAGCACCCCCTCTCAGAATTGATGCTGCACTCAGATCTGCTGTCACATACTTGACAAACCTCTCACAGAAGATTCGGGCAAAGTTCTGACTGACTGACTGCTTCTCCTCCTCAACCCAGCTGTCCAGAGTCTTCGCCAATCTGATGAGGGCCTTCTGCTGCAGGTTCTGTTGCTGCTGAGCCTCCTCAAACTGCTTCTGCAGCCGAGAGGTGGCCGTGGGGATGCTGTCGCTGGCTCCTTTGAGGACTGGGGGAGGCATTGTGACAGTCTTCCTCTGCCTCTTGCCAGCCTTTCCAGCGACAAAATTGGCCGGTGACTCCGGCTCCAGTGGCCTGGTGTAGGCCGTTTCGATGTCCTTGGGCGGACGGGAGGGCGTTGAGGGCTCCATGACCACTCAACCTGTGCAGTACACACACGTAGAGAGATCGCAGAGGGCGTGCGATGATATTGAACGGGTTGGAGGGTTAAAATTATACGAAAAACAGTTGGAAAAGTGGAAAATTCAAATGTACCCCTACGTTCGTGGGTAGTTGTAAGGATGACAATGATTTGTATAATCAATTTCATTTTATTTTTCTCTTATTTCATATTCTTTTGATTTCTTGTCAGAGAATTAGAGTTTTCAGCTGATTTTTATAAGGATTTTCCCATTCTTCTATCTCAATATTCATTCATTCTCTTCAGACATTCATTTTGCTTTTTCAGATATTCATTTTGCTTTTTCAAATATTTCATCATCATCTGTATCAAGGTATTAGTTGTTGGTGTTGGGCCCGGTGGCTCAGTGGCAGGTTCATATTCATCATTGCTAGCTGGGGTATCCATCCCCATGGTAGCTCAAGTTCTAGAAGGCATTCTTCCCTCTATATCAATCAATTTTTAATCTTTTCCCATGATCAAAGCTCTTCTAGCCTTCGTCAGGATCCCTTCTGCTGATCAGCGTAGCAGCTCGCGAGACGTTAGATAGGCAGTGGAAGGTTTAATAAAAAAAACAAGCAATCCGGGTCATAACCTGTGGGACGTCTAAGTGGTTGTATTAGCATGTCGGCAGCTGAGGCATATATGTGCGGTGCGCTAGTCCGTGATAGGCAGCCTAGGGCCAACATATGTTGAGGGGTGAGGGGCACGTGATAGAGTAGCCGTAGTACCCACTAACAGGAGATCGCCACAGGCAGTAGCTGCAGCGGCCAACAGTTCCTTCCCTTCTTTACTAATCCTTCTGTTTTCTTACTCTTATTTCCTCTTTCTTTTTAAGATTCTGTTTGTTTTTTTTAAAAAAAGGAGAATTCTCTTTGTTTTCCTTCTGATCTTCTTTTGTTTTTGTTTTAAAAAAGAGAAGAAGAACAATTGATGAAAAATTGTAACTAACTCTAATATAACAATCAGATTGTCAAATTCTTATTCTTAATTCTTAAGAATCATTCTACATTCTTTTTTCATGTATGCAATGGCATTTCTCACTCTTTGTGCCCTGGATTTCGGCAGTTAGCTGAACGGAAAGATGGTCCTGACCCCGCACCCGCGACCATCTTTCTTGGTAGAGATATATGTTTATATATATTCTATGCACAATTTCCATTGACATAAAAGTTCATTATTTTCCTAAAATCTCTGTTAAGATATGTAAGATATCCTCACTCACTTGATCGGATATCTTAACCCTGGCACTTAAACAGTATTACTTTCTTGCAATACACTCTGAAATCTTAAGGAAAGAATATCTACTTTCTTTCTTGTTCCCTTAGCTGTTGTATTATTTTTGGTGTTGGCTACTCTGTTCAATTCTGGGTTTTAGAGAGTGAGGCACAAGAAATCTAGAAAGCACAGAGGGAGAGAAATGCTCCATCAGTATTTTGTTTCTGTTGTGTTGTTGTCACTTCTAGAGTCTCTCCAGTCTTCTTTATTCCTCACAATAACAATAAGAAACAAATCTCCTCACAAACATACACACAACCCATATCTTCTGTCATCTTTGATATTCTTTCTCTCAGTTGTCTGTGCAGGCTTGATATCCCTGCGTCATCTCTCCACATTTATAGTCCTTGAGACCCCCCAACAATATCAATCCTTCTCCTTATAGCCACCCACCGAACCCTAAAGAATCCCAATCTGCAATGTGTCAGCTCACCATGGTTAAGGTGAGGCATCAGTGTGGGCATGTTGTTGACAGCTATGGATACATCCTGCAATGCCCAGCGTCTCTCGCGAACATTCCTCCCTCCCCCTGCGCCTCTCCATTGACGAATTGGAGCTTTGGACTCCGCATTGTGCGTAACCCTTGCGTTGACTGCCTCGCCAAGGGTAGCTGGAGGCAAACTGCTCAGGGAGGATGGGAACGAGTAACGCGCAGTAAGTTAGCCTGCCTCTGGGAGTAGCAGGCGCTGTATTTGAATTGACACAAAGCCGTTTCTCTCTACAGCAGATACGGAGGCCTCACAGCTTGACTAAATGTGTTGGATGCAAGTGTCACCAAGTGCATGCACTTACTACTACTGATGTGCTCTGAGTGGATGGCTGTTCATTCTTGCATCTATGTCTGAACAAAATCAAATATGTTCAATCTGCTTGTGTGAGCTTGTATCTAGCTATGTGTGAATCTTCTTTTTCAATGAATGCAAGGCATCAATGTTCAGTGGTACTGTGCAGTTTTGAAAGGGTATAAATGTCTAGTTTACACCGCTTGTGTTGTTTATTTTCTTTATTTTCTTTTTAATTTTTTTTAAAATTGTCTCTTCTCCTTTAATATTCATTTTCTCATGGAACACAGAATACCAAGTTACCAAGTTTACATTTCACTCTATCTGCATCTCTTTGAGATCAATCTTGATAGCGTTGATTGAATTTGACTATTCTCCAAATTGATATACATCTTGCTCCCAAGCTCATCATATCATCCTCATAAAATTCCATCACCAGTCGTCACGCACAATGGTGTTAAATGGTCACAAACTTCCCTTCAGGCTCACCACAGCCGACATGCTTGACTCAGGGTCTGTGAGCATTGTATTTGCTATTGGAGAACGCATTGCATTGAAGGCACCCATCATCTACAAAGCAAACATCCCCCTTACCGAAGAGCAGATCGAGCAGTCCGCAGAATCTGTCGCCTCCATCAGGCGTGAGAAGTGTATCTACGATCTCCTTAACGACCACCCCCATCCAAACATCCTCCAGACCATTTTCCACTGTCCAGACGGGATTTTCATGCCCCGTATGCTCTGCAGCGTCTTTCACTGGATGGGAAATGATCCCAACTCCATCCCTGCACCCCTGCGTCTTCGCTGGGTCAAAGAACTAGCCAGCGCAGCTGAGCACTTGGAAACCCATGGGCTGGTGCATGGAGACATCCGCCCCGCCAACACCCTCCTGGACAAGAACATGCACATCAAGCTAGCCGACTTCAACGAGCTGCGTCGGCATCGGCGACGCCTGT